TTCCTTCCTTCCTTCCTTCCTTCCTTCCTTCCTTCCTTCCTTCCTTCTTTCCTTCCTTCCTTCCTTTTTTCTCTACCTCCCTCTTTCTCTTCTTTCCTTTCTTCCTCCCTTCTTTCCCTTCGTCCTTTCCTCCCTCCTTTCTTTCTTCCTTCCTTCCTTTCTTTCTTTTCCTCTCTACCTCCCTCCTATCCTCCCTCCTTCCCTCCTTTTTTCCTTCGTTCCTTATTTCCTCCCTCCCTTCCTTCATTCTCTCTTTCACCTTTCTGTCTGTCTTCTTCCTCTCATCTTCTGTTCTTCCTCTTTCTCCTCTTCCTCTCCTCCTCGTCTTCCTTCTTCTAGAGTTTGTGGTTGCTTACCACATTTAAGAAGCAAAGATTGGGTCTGTGAGGAGCAAATGGTAGGTTGTAACTAAGATTTCATCATCCCACCCCTGTATCTTGGATCTCAGTGTACTCAGATCAATATGCGTTTGCCAGAATCTGCATCTTTGTGCCTAAGGGCTCTTGTATTGCAACTGAGGAAGGTGAAGTCACCTGTGCATGTCACACAGAGAAATCATTCAACCAATGATTCTGGACAGTTGATTTATGAAGACCCTAACTTTGTCCTTCCTGAAGCAGGACAATTCTAATTTTTTTTTTCATCATTTCTGACAATTTTTTGTTTCTTTTAAGCTTAATTGGTCACTGTGATACTAATTTATTAGTGTACCCTTTTCTTTATCACTTCTCCAGCCTCTACTGTTGTGATTCGTACTTTTCAATAAACTACTTTCACTGGAATATTTTCCTCAGAGTTTCTTATGGGAAAACCAAACTCCGATAGTACACTTTCTCTCCCAGTCCATATTTTCTCATCTCTACAGTGGGAACATTAATACCTACCTTGAATGTTTCTTCAAGAATTAATGATTATATCCACAAGGCATTTAGTCAATACCCATGTAATAGTAGGCAACCTATGACATATTAGTTGTTTTTTTGTCCATAGAACTTCTAGTTTTAATGTTGAAGATAAGAAAACATTAGTAATAATTACGTAGATTAACTAACTTCTTTTTTACTGGCTTTATTGAGACACAATTGACAAATAAAAATAAAAATTGTGTATGTCTAAAGTGTATGAGGTGCTGTTTCAGGATATATATATATTTATTGTGAAATCATAATATATTCCTTAGCTCACATAGTTACAATTTCCTTTTCATTTTTATGGTGTGAACAGCTCAGATCTACCTTCTTAGCAAATTTCTTGTATGCAATAAAACATTTTTGTTAACTATCGTCACGTTGTTGTACACTAGATCTGCAGAAGTTACTCATCTTGCAAAACTGATGTTGGTCAAAAGAATGTGATATTTTTTCACCTTCTTTATCCCATCAAACAATGACTATCACAGTCAGTGACTTTTGTCTGTTAGCTGAGTCTTCAGAGCATTCAAGATACACCGCCTCAGAAGTTGGCATCTGTCTTGGAAACCTACATTGTTAGCTCATCAGAGGTATTTTTACCTGTCCCATGCTGGTAGGAGGTGCCAAGATGGTGGCCCAGGTCCCTAACTTTTCTAATTCTCTCGGGGCCAGTATCAATCAATTATTCCATGACTGAATACTTGGGTTGCATCATCAGTTCAGGAACAAAAGTACCAGTCTTCCGTCTATCGTGTCTTCCACGAATGAGAAAGTTCTACCACTTTTCCTTCTTCTTAAATTCTACTGATTTCCCCGGAAATCAGAAGAATTGGTTTCTTTAGATGCTTCCTATTTGTCTCACAAAACACACAAGGTTGTTTTCTACCTTTAGTAGGCACAGAGATTATGGTTTGTGCAAAGCCATACAAGCCCATTGGATAGTCCCTCAATCCCCAAATATTTTTTACTTAATTTTCCTCATAACATTTTGATTTGAGGGACAGTTTGATTTAGTGTTGCTTAATATATTGTCCACATTTTAGAGGAAATAACTTAATTTCATTTTGCTTTGTCAACAGGTATTCAGGAGAAGGAAGCCGTAGAAGAATATTATTTACATGATATAAATCCCCAAATGAGACTCTCTTTCATGGGACACCATGCATTCTCACAAATATTTGATGCAGATTAATTGAATAAATAGCTGGTCAGGGACGGAGAGGAAAAGAGATCCACATTCAAGGGAGCTATTAAATGCAGTCCCTGTTTTCATACTATGTAGCTATTGCTCACTGAGGTGTGGAAAACTCATTTGGGAAGACCTTTGTGAACAGAACAGAAATGTTATCTGCAAATATGAGAGATTATACCGCCCATGTTCAATGAACTCAGTGTATGTCTTGCTCTTAGTGAATCCCAATATCATTTCTACTTTACTGAGAGTTAAATAGGAGTGTTCTTGGGCGGAAAGAGAAGATCGCACTTTGGACCTGAGTCTGTCCTTTATTAGCTACATCAAATCACACATTAAATTGTTCTCAGCTGAAAAATTGAGGTAATAACACATGAGCATCTGTTTTCAGAATCAAATTGGATGTTACGTATAGCATGCAATATGTGTGTAAATTCCATATCAGCAATTCTGTAGAATAAAACAAAGCACCATATGAGATGGAGGATGGTTCAGAATTTATTTAGTCACACATAGGTAAGAATCTGTGCTACGAGGGGCATAGTCCAGAGTTATCATAAAAAGAAGAAAAAAGGGTAAAAAACTATGAGGAGGAAATTGAAAATGAAAATATGATTGTGAGGATTATGGATCAGTTGCAGAAATCTAAATTTCTGAGAAGCAGAGAATGAAGCTTTTGTCTTTAGAGTCAAGGCTGAGACCATGACTCCAACTGAGGACATAGGAAGCTGGACCATGATCCCCAAAGTGTAAGAAGAAGAGAATCAGGACAAAGTACTCTGCCCTCCCTCAACCTGATTTACGAGATTTTAAACATGCAGAAAAAAAAAAAGATATTGGTGAGAGCATACTGTGTTTGAAAGCAAATTTGTCCCCTGAGAGATAAGTTAGTTGGAGCCGGGCTGGGTGGCTCAAACTGTAATCCCAATATTTTGCGGGGCTCAGTTGGGTAGATCACTTGAGGTCAGGTGTTTGAGACCAGCCTGATCAACACAGTGAAACTCCATCTCTACTAAAAATACAAAAAATTAGCCAGGCATGGTGGAACAGGTCTGTAATCCCACCTAGTTGCGAGGCTGAGGCAGGAGAATTGGTTGAACCTGGGAGACAGAGGTTACAGTGAGCCAAGATCACGCTACTGCACTCCACCCTGGGTGACAGAGTGAGACTCAGTCTCAAAAAGAAGTTTCAGAAGGTTGTTGTGTTAGGATGATGGTCCTTGGCAGGGCTGATCAGCACCAGGAAGGTTGGCAGCAGCTGGACACACAGGTGGGCTTCCAGCAGGTGGTCTCACAGCAGGCTGGGCGGCAGCAGGGCTGGCAGCAGCTGGATCCACAGCTCTGGTTCAGGCAACCAGGCAGGCAGACACATGTGGGGTGGTAGCAGGTTCTCGTGCAGTACACAGGTGCACAGGAGCTGGTCTGGCCACAGCTGGACCCACAGCAGGTGGGCTGGCAGCAGGGTGTGCTGCTGCAGCTGGTCACACAGGTGGGCTTCCAGCAGGTGGTCCTGCAGCAGGTGGTCCTGCAGCACGTAGGCTGGCAGCAAGGGGAGCAGCAGTGGGTCATGGTGTCAGGGGTGGAGGGTGGGCTCCTGTTCAGAGGTGAGTTTCCCAGAATCTGACGGCTCCTTCCAATCTGGGCCTTTTATACACCTGGCCTCCGAAGTTTCCACCAATCAGCAGGACTTTTCCTTGTTGGTGTTTACATTGTTTTCTATAGTCAGTTTGGGATTATGAAAGAGGAAGTCATTTCCTAAATGCTATGAATCTTTTGAAAGTAAGGGTTTAATCTGTTTCTTAATTGTGAATTACTCATAGCAAATGTCATTTAAGTAAAAGGAAAGCCGTTTCATCATCAGCCTGCTTCCTACTCTGACCATCATCTTGTCATGTGGTAGTTCCTGGTGACCAGGGAGGCTCAAGAAGTTCTCTGCCCAGCCTCATCCTTTGGCTGTATGTAGACTGGAATGCGTCGTGAGGAGAAGCATGATGCTGATATATTCACAGTAATGAATTGAATCCATGCTTGGGACCAAGACTGTTCACCCACCAAAGTCTGATTCAATACTAACAGGCATCTCTCTCTGTACAGCTTACTTTACCTGTCTCTTCCAGTTC